GCTGCACGTACCGATTAGTGGGGACATATTTTTTTTGTCCTATCTACTTTGGAAAAGAAGAGGTAAGGACCTACAGTACTGCAAATCTTCATATTTAAACATATTAACAATCCCTTGTTTTTCTTTCAGAAAAGCAATCCCTGGTTTTATTATAATTATAGATTATCTTAAAATCGATTTCTACTTTGTGATTTGTCAAAGCATAAAGAACTGTGTAGAATAAGAGGTCGTATTTCAATGATTTGGATGTTGCATTGACATCAGATAATTACCTACTGCATGTAATAGCTAGTGATCGATGGATGCAAGTTGGTATAAATTTAATGTCAAATGTATAGAAAAATATCCAAAGTCTACTCCTGGTGTTGCTGCAAGGATTAGATGCTGGCATGCTGTGACTGGAACCAGCAGAAATTATACAAAATGCACAATTTTAAAATTTATGAACTAATTGAGCATGTTTTTCTCTTCGTGTTGCAGGTAAACAAAAACATATAGATCAAATAAGTTAGATGAACCAGCAGATATTTTATTAGTGAGCTCTATAGATGCAGCAATCAGTAACAGACCATCTCCATGAGCTTTGACTCCATGAATAGTACTTAATACAGGAAAAAGGGAAGGCCAATATTGCTCAATTGTTACTGAAATTTTAAAGGAAATCAAGTGGCACTACAACATCAGGACATATGTGTAGAACGAAATGCCCATTGATTGCAGTAGAAGACAATTCACTTCATATCCTTTCAGAATAACACATTAACTCTTGGAGCATGTACAACAGAAATGGAACATAAAGCTAACCAAGAATACATATCCATGTGCGCCACTTTCAGAATATATGACATAGTACCTCTGAGATATCTAACTTGTTGTTTCCATGCATTCAAGAAGCACTTAATTACTTTCAGGGATCTTATTACAAATTTAATTTGTTTGATTCAAACTTATGTAGTAGCATGGCATTTTTCTGAGACATCCAAAAAAATATGTTTACATATCAAATAGGCAACACCAGTAATTATTGGTCCAAATAAGGCATGGACAGGTTTGCATCTGCTAAAGAACATTATATTGTTTCTCCTATTCCACAACCTATGACCACATTTAAGCATGGACAGATTCGTGTATATGATAACAGAACAACATGCTCCATGTCATAAATCACAGGCTAGGAGGAAGCGATGCAGATGAGGGTGGATTAGCATACTTGTTAGCAGTTGTGCTTGTCAGCCTAGTGGAGGATGTAGAGGTAGGTGACAGAGCTTCTTCACCTCGGGTGACTGCACCGCCATGTTCTTACATAACATAGTATTCCTACAAATATGCAATTCAGAATAGAAAGGTACAATTATCAGGCTCAGTACCCTATTCAGAACAGAAAAACAAATCTTATTAATTGAAAGGTACCTTGTGCAGATATATAAAAGTTCAGTACCCTGTTCCTCCTTTCCAAATCTACCAGACTGCTTAATTTACAAACAAAGAAACCTGTGCTGCTTGCCATGGAAGAGATGGAGGCGGGAAAACAAAACCTTAGAAAACATGATGGTTGTATAACCCCAGAAATGTCAAGGATTTGGCATGAGTGTCACAGGCGGCCAAGCAAATCTGCTACTTATTGACACACACACGCATGCACAGTACATATTGTCAACCAAAGTAACAACAAATCAGAGACATGTGCCTCATGTTGTCCCCACAGTTCAATGGAATGGATTGTATCTAATCAGGACATCCAATCAGTGGTTTCATCATCACAAAGAACTCACGAACATGTACAACAATGGAGCAGGTACCTTGTCTGCTTGGAGCTCCTTGTGCGGGTCATGTTGTGGATGCCCTCCATGGAAGGAAGGACCTGCTGCTGCTGCTCCAGCCCGAATCAAATCAAGGTGGTTAGACCCTACAATCCATCCATATACAATCAGGTATTTGCACTGAAGATGCAAATAGTCCACTGTAGACACTGCAGCAGAGAAGAGAGGGAGCTTCACCAATAGAGCAGAAAAATCAAATGGAATCCAACAGAGAGAAGAGAAGAAGGAAGACCTGCAGATGGTGGAGCCCTTAAGGATGATGACCTGCAGATGGTGAGGGAACTCCATCACCATCTGGAAGAAGACGGCTTGAGCTACTGGTCCATGGCGATGTTGGATGTGTGCCTGCGTGAGGGAGAGAAGAGCATCAGGGAAGGGGAGGGAAGAAGGGCAGAACCATGGCATCGACACTCACCAGGGTGGAACATTGACGAGCAGCTCCATGGCGTGGGTCTCCTTGACGAGCAGGTCCGATCCAGGCGCGGATCTTTCCGCCGCCATGGATCTCCCACTCCTCTCCTCTCCTCTCGGGATTCAAGCGGTCGTCGACGGATAAGAGGAGGGGCGGAGCGGATTTTATCCATCGTCGAGGTAGCCACCACCGTCATCATCGCCGTCGGTCACCATGGCCCAGCGGCTAGGTCTTCCAGTGCGAGGAGTGAGGGAGGGAGGGAGGGCGGATCTGACCGCTGCCTGAGCTGTCGC